TACTAAAAGGGTACACACACAAGCACAAGGTCATCAGTATGTCTTTCAGTGGCCTCCACCAATGTTGTTACTGGTTACTGGTTAGCTCTTCAAGGGATTGTGTAATAGGTGTTTAATTCACCGGATGAGTAACCACAAGACGTGGTTGTGCAATAATATAACTTATGTTTTCTTTAGCATTTGGATTAGTTTAAATGTATTTAGCAAGACAATGTGGGTTTAGGGATTTCCGTACTTGCTTTCTGGAATTAAAGTGTCAGCTATGAGTGTAAGGCGGCATGAGTCAATTTTTTTTTAATGGCAAGTGGATATAAAAGCTTTGTGTATTGTGCAATTGCTGCAACTCTTTAGAACAATTTCTGTCTAAATATATCAAAATAGTAGGAGTTAACTGGCAAAGCAAAATAAACCATATAATTTTAGATTTTATTTGAAACATAGCATGAACATAAGCGATGGGAACTGAACACTCATCAGAGGGTCAGAAACAAAGGTCCAAAACAAATGCCAATGCTACAGTATATGCAGAGAGGCTATCATTGTTTTATAATGTAAATGGATCAGCCTTAAAAGTGACAGTTTTCTTCTTGCTCTAAATCACCCAGTGCACATTTATCTATCTGATTATCAAGTTAATAACAGTTTGTTTATTTGTGGACATTTCTTAGATGTGTGTCTGAGATTTTCAGCATTAATAAAAGTTGTTTTATTCACCCCCAACCTGTGTTTCTCTCCTCCTGGCAGGCTACAGAGAAGGGTTTCTGTGGAAACGTGGCAGAGACAATGGACAATACCTGAGCCGAAAATTTATTCTGTCCGAGCGAGAGGGCGTGCTTAAATACTTTAACAAGCATGACGTGAGTTCTGTCTGTTTTGCTTACACTCTGTCACTTCATACATGTCCCGATTTTTCTCTTTGTAATATATGAAGTTGTATAAATAAGGAGCCTGTGTGTTTTGGCAAATGTGGTTATCTCCTAGTCTACAATTGGTTCATAATGTGCAAAAACAGCCTTGATAATGGCGAGAATGTTTAACAATAAGTCTTTACTTTCTGCAGGCCAAGGAGCCTAAAGCGATTATGAAGATCAATACTTTGAATGCCACTTTCCAGCCATCCAAAATGGGCACTGCCCATGGCCTGCAGATAACCTACTTAAAGGACAACAGCACTAGGAATGTCTTTGTTTACCACGAGGATGGAAAGGTGAGCTGACACGCCCCGTTTGGTGTTTCAGATGGGAAATCGTGAGCTTGGAAATGTTAATGTGTCCCTCTAGAGGAAAAAGTTGGCAATTACAATTCAACATGTAACAAATTTACTTTGGTAAGAGCTTCACAGGGATCTGTTTAATTAAAAATAGTTACCAATATATTTCCCAATAGCTTAGTTTCTTAGTTTCAGATGGTTTTCTTACAAAGCATTTTTAAGAAGTTACCTTGTTGGTGGAGTTAATCGGGGATGGGACCAATGGTTTAAATGACATAATAATGTGTAACTTAGCCATTATACTTCCTTATGTCCTTCTCTTAAGGAAATAGTGGACTGGTTCAATGGCATCAGAGCAGCTCGATTGCGCTACCTGCAGGTGGCTTTTCCTCTTGCTCTAAACTCTGAGGTGAGTAAGTGCTCTCACGTATGGGCTCCTGCATGAAGGCAGCTACAACTAAGGTGGCTGAAGACAAGTTTTTCCTATTCTTTTGAACTTGTCATTATGAAGGTAATATTGCACACAATAATGGCATCTTTTGTGCCTCAATCTGGTTGCTGTACTCATGATTTAAGCTCATGTAGAGGTTTAATTTAAACCTTTTGCAGGTGTTTTTAACTTCAGTACAGCTCGGTAAACTGTATTCATTTCTATAATGTCAAATTCAATTCAATTCAGTTTTATTCATATAAAACACTAAATCACAACAACTTCTCAATGTGGTTTAACTGCAAACCAGTAGTCAGTTTAATATAAGCATGCGCACATATACAGTTAAAAAAGAAACAAACAACAAATCAAACGTTTCCCTGAAATGATTATGTTTCTTTTTCTTTGTGCAGCTGCTGCCAAAGGTAACCAGAAACTACCTAAAAGAGGGCTACATGGAGAAGACTGGTCCAAAGGTGATTTTGTTTTGTGTAGATGAATTGCCGATCATATATCACAGGAGAAAAATAAAAGAAAAAAAATCACAGCGATGCCGTCAAGATGACTTTGATGTCTTGTTTTCTGTCCTGCAGCACACAGAGGGCTTCAAGAAGAGGTGGTTTACGATGGATGACAGGAGGCTCATGTATTTCAAGGATCCACTGGTAGTAAAGTTTCACCAGTAAAACATATGAAAAGAATTTTAATTACACACTGTGACCAGCAGATGGTGCTGTGATGTTTCTCTACAGTCAATTCTTGTTTTTAAGAGACCATGACCCAGAATTTGTGCAAGTAGCCTTTAGCACAGCGCCTTTGATTTTATTTACACGTTTTGTGTGTTTTTATACTTTAATGAAGCAATTTCCATATCCATTAACTCTTCTGAATTTAAGTTTGATTCAGGTACATAAAACTACATTACATACATTAAAACTGCTTCTCTCTCTGCTTGTAGGATGCCTATGCACGTGGTGAGGTCTTCATCGGTAGTCAGGAAAATGGCTACATTGTGCTTCCCAACCTGCCTTCCACTATCCAGGGTTACCATTGGCCATTTGGAATAACAATAGTGACCCCGGATAGGAAGTTCCTCTTTGCATGTGAGACCGAAGTGGAGCAGAAAGAATGGATCACTGCTTTCCTTACAGTTATTAACAGACCAATGCTGCCTCAGGAGTATGCAGGTTAAAATAAAATAAAAAAAGTTACAAAACACATACAGTGCTGTGCAAAAGTCTCGAGCCACCCCTCATTTTTTTATATTTTGCTAGGAAATGTGCAAAGATACAAAAAAGTGCTGTATAAATAGTTATCAGGAATTGTTCTCAATGCTTCTTTAAGGATGTTCAAAGCTCTTCTTTGGATGTTGGCTGGCTTTTGTTCCATTCTTTGTTGAGATGATCTCACACTGATTCAGTAACGTTGACCTCCGGGCTCTGGGGAGGCCAATCCATGACTGATACTGTCCCATTGTGTGTTTTCTATCAAAGGTATGCTTTTACTGCACTTGCAGTGAAAAATGAAGCTGCTGCCAATCTGACAATTTCTAGATAGTATTGCACAGTGGATCAAAATCAGATGGTACTTTTCGGTGTTCATAATTCCATCGTCTATCCATCCAAACATTCTTTTCTGCTCATCCTTATTAGGGTTGTGGGTGGACTGGAGCAGGTATAGGGCAAGAGTCAGGGTACACCCTGGACAGATCGCCAATCTGATGCAAGGCTCATATTTCCACCAATTTTGACAAAATCTGAAACACAACTGGCTGAAAACCATGACAGAGCTTGGTTGTAGAAACTTACACTGTTGTGTACACCTTTTAGCTCAAAGCTCTTTGGGAATCACCTTATTAGTACATAAATACTATTTTGTACCTGTCAAACAGTGTTATCTTTGGCATTTGTTAAGATTCAACAAAAGAAATGGTAACAAATTTTAAATTGGTTCTAGTCTGTTATGTGCAGAGACAGCACCGGCTCATGCCTAAATGCCTTATAATGCTTGAAAGAGTAACAGGTTAGTCTTGAATGGTTTAGCGAAACAAAACATAAGACTTTCTTCAGGTCAAGAACAAGACCTGGACTTAAAGTGAGTGAAAAAGCAGCTGATGCCAAAAGAAGATCTTTAGAAAGAATGAAACAAAGTCAGGTCCTTGGAAGCAAAATATAAAGAAATAAGGAGTGGCTCAAGACTTTTGCACAATACTGTAAATCGTTTTTTAATATATAGAAGAACGTGCCAATATTTTGTTCACTCATGTGGCTCTATTTTCTTTCTCCTTTTCTACAGTGGAGGCATATTTTAAGCACAAACCGTGATGAGGACGAAGAACTTGGTGCAGGGTGAGGAATATAGAAACTGCCGCTGGAAGAAGAAAAAAACCTTGACATCTTGTAATAGAAGCACTTATGAAAACTGAAGGCTCACATAGAAAAGAGCCTCACGGTGACACAGCTTTGATTATTTGGCATTCCAGCAGTTACCCTTTTGTCTTTGCCTGTCGTCTTCGTCAGCCTCACCTACATGATGTGCCAGACACGTTTCGTGGGGAGCCATGAATGTTAGCTAACTTATCTGCTATGTGGTCTGACTTACTTTCATACTTGAAACAGGACAGTCACACTGAATGTGCAGATGTGTGTGTGTGTCTGTAAACTTGGAGTTAGAACTGTTGCTGCTCGCGAGATTTCAGCATAGTGTTGTGTTATCAGTAACAAGATTACATTTCAGATGTATGAACTGCAAACTTCTGACCAATTATATGCAGACCAAAACAGATTTATCTGACATAAAACTTCATGTCAACATCATTAAGGTGGTATACATACATTATTTTATATTAGACTCTCTGTAAAAAATATGTGTAATTCTGAATGTATTTATTTTTTTTAAACTGTCTAATTTTCTATGTGCCACACAGGTAGAATAAACAATTTTTGCTTTTTGTTAGCACAGATGTAATCAATGTAACAACTAAGTACTGCCTAGCCTTACTGCTTCTTCTATTTTATACAACTATTTAAATATTTCCTTTATGTCATGAGTTATTATCCAGCAGAGGGAGACATAGGAAAGGCTTTAGACTAAAAAAGGCTCCAGCGGCTTAACTTCATCAAACCAGTGATTGCTGGTCTACACTTTAAGTGATTTGTGAAAGCAGCCCTAGGAGAAAGGCACAAGAAGGTTTGAGCACTACTTTCATTGGACTGTCGCACAATTTGTTCAAACCTGAAGAGCTGACGTCAATCAGCGTGAACACGCAGATGCTCTCTGCTGCGCTCAGTGATCTGTAATTGCATGCTTTGTATTGTGTAACTGTCCAAGAAGAGAATTTGTGTAAGAGAATCTGAAATATGATGTATATATATATTTTTTTATTGTAGTTTTAAGTTACAAGAAAGAAGTTACACACTGAAAGGTAGTAAACCAAATAAACAATACTCTTAACTTCAAGGCTAAAAAAAAGAAACATGGGCATGTACAGTAAGTGCAGTACAGTATGTGGTTTCTGTGACTGAGATGGAGTGTTTCTAAGCAACAGTGTATACAATTACATCTGTGATTCTTATATTAATTGTAAGTTAAATACTGTTAACCGATTCAAGGTGACATACTGCTCAAAATGTTAAGAAAACATGGCATATACCCAATTTATATACGAATGTACAGAAAACACATACATGCAGTACTGTGCAAAGGTTTTGAGTCATTGGTCATTTCCTTTTATTCTACTTCCAAAGACCCAGACTTTCTTGTTTTAAGGTGGTCTTGAGGATTAGTTCTCCAGGTTTTCTGTTATTGTTTTCTGGAGATTGGCTGCATTTTCACCCATTTTCAGTCCAATTCTTGTACCTGACATCACAAAATAGAGTTTTGTCGCTTTTTGCTATAGAAAAAAGGATTTAAATTATTGAAGGCACAAACTAATGCAACTTAAAGGATGAAGGCAAAAGGCTTTTTAAAAATTCGATCTTTAGCTTCGATGTTACTGTTGCAAAAACACATCAGTTGTTCCCATTTCTTTAGTTGAATCCAAAAATGCCAAAGCTAAACAAAGATGGGCATAAAAATATTATTTTTGCTTCAACAAGATTTAGTTGATTTCTCAAGCGCTATAGCATGGAAATGATCCCAAACACACTGCCAAGACTGGAGGTCAACTTTACTGAAGCAGTGAGGGATCATCTTGACAAAAAACAGAACAAAAGGCATCCGACATCCAAAGAAGAGCTTCAAATGCCCTTCAAGACCCCTAAAGAACTATTCCCAATGATTATCTAAAGAGATTTCAAGCTTGTTAGAATTCTATGATCTCTGTGTTTGACTTATATACAGTATTTCAATGTATGTTTGCACGTTTTGATAAATCACTGCAGCTATTTCCCTGCAAAATATAAAGAAATGAGAGGTGGCTCAAAACTCAGCATTTAAATACACTGTCGTGATTTGCATGGATTACAAAAAACAAAAACAAACAAAAAAGAAACAAACAGAGAAATAAAATAAAATAAAATTACATATGTTTCATGTACAATACTTCAGGTCTCTATAGCTCTTTATTTCTCACTTCACTCCCATGCTCTTATTCCTATCTAAAGTGATGTTCTCTTCTATCCAAACTATTTTACATGCAGAAAAAAATGTAGTATTTACACCATAATGACCAAAAAAAGCCCCCATTTTATATTCCTGTATATTGCATACAGTGTGTTTGACTATGTTTTTAATAATTTAACAAAAAATACAGATCAGGAACAGTGGTCGCATTACAGCTCTTCAAAACTCAAACGTCTAAATTTGTTTAAACATTATATTAATATGGATTCAATCTGAATGCTGTTAATGGTCGTTGTATCCAAAATAGCAACACCCATTTGCTTTTACTATATTTTTGTGTTAAAATAATACAAATCCCCCCCCCAAATCCACAGCTGAAACAGACTAAATTTATGCTGGTGAGCTAACCCGGCTCCAGGGAGCCTGTTGAATCATTGATTTAACCACAAACTGTACAGAGGACACTTCACTACACATTTACTATTTGAACATTCATCCGTAACATCCGAAGAAAATGACAGTTGCATCTAACACATTAATTATATGCAGAAATTAAACTGCTTTAAAAACATGCATTTTATCTCTGCAACAAACAAAACAGAAAAGACCCTTCAAAATAAAAGAAGGACACCAGGCAACGGTGAAGATAATTGTGTAGCTGCAGTTGAAACAGGGTAATAACTGAGGTGTGCCATCTTTGCCTTTTGCCAATTATAACCTTGGGCTACATTTACAGCTACAGAAGGAGATGGGTGGGGAAAAGCAAGACGCACATACACATGATGCAGGAAGGCAACGAGACTAGTGAGGACAACAGTGAGATTGTGTGTACTGACACAATGAAATCTGAAAATGGACGAGCAGAAGGTCGAACGGGTTTATACCTCGCTGGAGCTGACTCCTTTCTGATCACACCAGATATGAACACGTACAGTATGGAAATAAGTGGCACACATACACACACACACACACACACAGAGCCAAAGAGTGACTGGGGCAGGCTTTTAAGACCGGCAGCAGCCAGTGCTCTTCATTTCCTTGTTCACGTACTCATGGAGCTTAAACTTCTCACTGGGATCCTTCATGGACCTGTGCTTCAGCTCCCTGAGGAAAAGGAAGAGGATATTGTGGTAAAGGACCTTCACACACATTAACCTATTTTTGAAAATCCCGTGTTAGTTGACTGGATTGGCTGTCAGTCAACTAACACAGGAGAATCACATTCATACCTATGGACAAATTAGAAAACGCTCAGACTGAAATACTAAAACTGGACTGTGAGTGAAAGCCCATGCAGAAAAGGGGAGAACAAGCAGAAGTCAGAGGTAGGCAAGCTTGAAGCCAAAAATTTAATATTGTGCAACCACCTAACTTTCTGCCATCCTTTTAGCCAAATAAAGACATAAATAAAAACTAGTAAGGGAAAACTATTATTTAAATCTGTACTTGAGATCTTTATTGAAACATTTGCAACTTCAAGGAAGCATTTACACGAGTAACAAATCTTTTTGACTCCACATTGACGTCCGTGTTTATATGAAAATACTAAATGTTTTAAATTAAAATCCACATTTTATATTCATACATCCTTTATATAATCCCTGACACTTGCAAAGAGAAATATACTTACTTGGCCACAGCAGTGAAAGCCAGCTCTACATTGAGGCCTGACCTGGCGCTGGTCTCCATGAAGGGAACTCCGAATTCCTGCAGAGCCAAAGCAATGAATCTTAATGCAAAGGGCTTTTTTTGTGCTCTCTGTGATGTTTGTACTAAAACTTAGAAAAATCCCCAATGTTCCTACTTCAAAAAAAAAAAAAAATCTTTTCTTTCTTAATTTTTTAAGAAGCAGCTTTGAGCAGAGGAGCTCAAGACACTGGAGAAAGATGTTTACAGTCATAATAAACTGCAAACCTGTCCATTAATCTGTTTGCCATTTATGGCAAACATTCAGCCATGTGCTGCATTGAAACATTGCTAAGGTCTGAACTTCCTAAATTTTATTTTGTGATTTGATGCAAAACATCTGTTCCACCGTATCCCAAAGGTGCTCCATTGGATTGAGATCTGGTGACGTTCGAAGCCATTTGAACACAGTGAACTCATTGTCATGTTCCAAAAACCAGTCTGAGCCATCAGAAGATGGGCAGGATATGGTTAGCAATAACACGCAGGTAGGTTGTGCTGTTTAAAAAAAAAAAAAAGAAGCTTGATTTGATTAAAAACAGGTGGCATGGTGGTTAGGACTATTGCCTCACAGCAAGAAGGTCCTGAGTTCAGGCCAGGGTGGAGTTTGCATGGGTTCTCCCTGGGTACTCTGGCTTCCTCCCACAGTCCAACGACATGCAGTTAGTGGGGTTAGGTTAATTGGAAGCACTAAATTAGATGTGAGTGTGATTGGTTGCCTCTGTCTATGTGTTAGCCCTGTGACAGACTGGCGACCTGTCCAGGGTGTACCCTGCCTCTGGCCCTATGACAGCTGGGATAGGCTCCAGTGCCCCCCACCAACCCTGAAAAGGATAAGCGGAAGCAAATGGATGGATGAATTAAAAATGTGCTGAAATATATCCCGTGGACCATTACTACACCAACAAACGCCTGAATGGTTATAGAAGGTAGGAGCCATTTTGTTTTTACCAAATGAATGTTGCAGCCGAAATCAAGACTCAAACCAGGAAATATTTTTCCAATCTTCTGCTGTCCAATTTTGGTCAGCCTGTAAAATTTGTAGCCTCAGTTTCCCATTCTGAGTGTAGCCCATCTACTTCAAATTTCGCAATGCCGTCCACTCAGAGATTCTGTTCCGCATACCTTGGTTTTAACAAGTGTTTTTTTTCCAGTTACTGTTGCCCTCCTAAGATAACGCTCACTGGATAGTTTCTCTTTTTCACACCTTTCTCTGTAAACTCTAGAGAGAGCTGTGTGGTAAAATTCCAGTAGATCAGCAGTTTCTGAAAACACACTAACAACCATGCCTCAAAGTTACCTTCCTTTACCGGTCTGATGCTTGGTTTGAACTTTGTCTTGACAATGTCTACATGCCTGAATGTACTGAGTTGCATTAGATATTTGTGTTAATAAGAAACCTCATGAAATGGTCTATAAGTGTATGTATAAAAAGTTAACACACCAGGATTAAGCTTGAAAGAACAAATTGTGACTGGTGGATAAAAACTGTATAAAAATGTAGTGCCCAGCAGCTTCACACTTGTTCACTTGTAGATAATCCAGCTCGGTGCTGTCTTCATGCTTTCCCTCTGCAGGCAAATTTGTATCAGCAAACAGAGATGATAACTGATGTGTCTTTTTCCTTCCAGGCTGAGTCCCGAGTCACTTATTGGCACTTTATTGCTGCCATTTCTAAAAAGAATTGCTTGGCAGTTTACCTTTTTTTTCAGTGTACTTGGTTTTGAGGCACTGCAAGTATTTGCAGTCGCACTGAAGAAAGAGCTATAAAACTGGGGATGACTGACAGTCGATACATGTTATGCAGAAGCTCATAAAACACGATGAGCCATAAGGCACAATTCTACAGAGTAAATACTGACTATCACATTTTTATTATCTATGGGGGAGAAAACACATCCGAGTCTTATCTTCCGTTTCCTAACACCAGAAGGAAATCTCAGATAAAGAGCTAGAGTGAGAATGCAAACGGATCTCCAGATAATCACACATTTCTGTAATATTTATAATCCTCATGCTTGCCATAAAAAATCCAATCAGCCATATAAATCCCTTTGAAAAAGCACATATACAGAAAAATTAATGTCTTCACTGTTCAGAAAAAGATTCTAAAACAATTAAAAATGTGGGGCAAAACTTCTGCTTATATTGTGTGGACCTTCAGACTCTGACACAGCTAAACAAATCCCCATGCATCTTAGTTCTTTACCTTAGCAAGTCTCTCACCATCTTCTCTCTTCACCACCCTGTCATGAGTGGCATCAGCCTGATGAGACAGGAAAAACAAGGTCACATTCCAGCATCAAGCAACCATCAGCATCGGCGCCAAATATGCTTTCACCAATTGCAGGCTTTTTGCCATATATAAGCCCCGTTCTGATCCGATGGCAGCTAAGGAGTCTCGGGATGCTATTAAAAGGCTGTTATGGCATGTTAGGTGACTGAAAGTAGACAGAGCTCTGAGCCAGAGACATCTGTTCTCTGCTTAGAGAGAATGACAGTTCCAGAAAATGTGTTTCGCTAATATTTGCAAATTTGATTGACAGTTATTAGATGTGTGCGCACACAGAATGACTCAGGACTCCTTGGCAGAAGAGATGTTGTATTTCAACTGGACCCTCATGGCTAAATAAAGGATACATAAAAAAAACAGGTTTTTAAGCAAATGTCACCAATAATCAACTGACTGAGCTTCAAACAGCTTTGGCAATTAGTTGTGCTTAAGCACAGACATCAGTTGATGCTAAGCATGCGTCTGTTGGAGCAGCAAATTATTACTGATACTTAGAAATACAACGATAATTATTTTTTCTTAATTTTCTTAGATGCAACATTAGAGAACTTTTTTTGTGTGTGTTTTGGTATTTGTCACTATTAACAAATCCCATGAAAGACAAAATCCAGTTCAAAAATCAAGTGTGCATTATTTTGTCCCTCACTTCCAAGCCCTATTAAAGGCTATAAATCCATTGTCAGGTGCTAAATTGATAGTGGAAGAATTTACATTAGGTGCCACAGTAATGGGTATGTATAAAAATGATGGGACTTCTGTGAGTGCCAGATTGAGTACCTTTAAGCACAAATCAGGTCAGATTATTGCCCAAAGCTGTCCTTTCAAACATGTAACACATGTGTTTAAAGTATTTCCACATGCCCACTCACTGTGTATCCAAAGGGCAATTATCTGTGCCACTGTTGTATCCCTGTCAGATGGGTTTTGCACATGTGAGCTAGCATCTCACTCAGGTAATCTCTAGAAAAGTTCGGGGTTGCAATGCATGTGTAAAAAACCTGTTACCGCTATGAAAGAATTTCAGTGCCTTGCCTTGTTTCCAAGCAGCATGAGCACTACATCTTGTTGGGCGTATTCGTGGATCTCAGTCAGCCATGCCTGATAAACACAAGAAAAGAAGAGACAAGGATACATGTGTGGTATGCATATGGAAGGGCTCAGAAAAAGCAAACCCTGTCTGGGACTTTGCAAGGACAAGCTTAAACATTAAATCTAATCACAAAGAGTGACAAAAATAAAGGGTAAAGGAAGAGGACAGAGGATCTGGGGAATCGCAATATTTTAAGATTTTAACAAACTGTATAGTAAGACTGTAAAAAATATCACCATCAGTTAAAATCAGCTGCATCGTGGTTTAACTGTAATATGTGCCGTGGGGAGAGATAGAGTCATCCAGGGGAACAAACAGCCCTTCTTACTGTGTGAGCTTCGACAGCTGCTGAACCGTCCATTCACTGTTAATGAGCAATTAGTTAGCTCAAACAAACAGCTGCTGAAATATTACCCGCCGTCTCAGCACAATGCCTAATTGTACCCACAGCGTGTTATTCTGCATAAGTTTCTGCAGGTGATCAATCCTTTTTTTTCTTTAGTGGTCCCATTCAGACAACTACAGTTAAGTCTGCTGATGACACTGCATTTGTAAAGGAATTTCTCAGCGTCTCTGTGTGCCAGCATATGGCCGAGGGAAACTATAAGCAGGTTTAATGTAAATCCACTATAAACAGTATGTGTCGCCTTGATGTGACTTCTTGGTATGCAACAGTTTTGTTTATTCAAAAATCTGGAACCTAAACGATAAACTTTGTCTCCCCAATTTTGGATTCAGCTTTTTTGACGTCTTTTAAAAGGAAAAACACTAAAACAAAAATTCAGGTTTTTGGAGAAAAGCAGAGTTTGTTGCAATGCAGTTTATTGAGCTTCTCCTGATAAAAGCAGAGTCACCTAAGAAAAGAAGCAGAAGGAACAGTAAAGCGACAACAAAGTGATCCTGGGACGTCAAACCTTAAGCAAGCAAAGTGAGTGAGAGACAGACGAAGGACAAGCAAAAGGCAGAGGGACACAGGAGACACTGGCTCCAATTTCTTTGTTACAAAGAAAAAAAAACCCCACAACAAATATATTGTACACAAGCACAGACGATATGTGAATCCTAATCAGTCACAATATGCAGGGACAGCTGACTAATCAGGACAGTCGGGCTGATTCCTGATGGGCTGGTTTATGTTCACCTCTCTTTTGAGATGGATGAGTGGGAAAAATACTTGTGACAACTACTTTATTTTTTCCACTATCTCCATTCATCTAACAGCATCATAGTAAATCAGATGAATTCTATCATCTGAGGAATTTCTCATAGGGATGTTGGAGATAGATGCTGTCAAATATGCTATGTGAACCGACCTGTTTACCAGAAGACAGATCCCAGTTGCAGCTGGGAACGAGGAAATGTGGATGAGATCTTGTGTTATCAGCTTAGGCTACAAGGCTAGTACAACGTTTGATATAATACCAATACATAAAACTGAGGTTATTAGCCTAGTTTATTTTGCGCAGCCCAGTAGGTACAAGATGAATCACAGATGGCCTACCATTTTAAGTTAAAAAAAAAAACTTAATTTAAAGGTTCCAGTAGGATCTATGTGATATTGAATAACTCCCTTATAATAGAATTTTGTGGTAGCTTTGGAGCAGCAGATAAACCCATCTGACACTGCTGATAATGATAAGCATGAAGAGGCCATGACTGAGGGGACAGGTAGCGACTAGTCTATTAAATAATTTGAATTAAGTTATTTATGTCTCGTAAAGATATATATCACACAGAGAGTATATGTGTTTTAAATTGTATCAAGACATTCAGAATACATCTGGGTAGCCTTCTGCAAACACGAATTGTAGACTATTATGATATGAATTGTTAGAAAAATCAAAAATGATTGAAAAATTCCTCCACCATGGAATAAGAAGACCGGTCTTCTCACAATATTTGAGTACTAATCAGGCATAACTCGGCCTTACCATTGCATTCAGCATGGCAACTACACAACAGCTCCCATCAGGGTTGGGAACTCCCAATATGTTCAGCATGCTTCCCAGTGTGTTCTGCCCACTGACTGTATGACAGCCTTCCTCCGAGGCCTGTCTACTGTGCTGGGGCCAACAAATAAGGCTTGCAATTCTTAAGGCACAGGGTTAAACAGAGTTCACTCACTAAGGCACACAATAAAGGCAGCTACAGTAGTTTTCCCACAGAGGATACATGTAGCATATTAAGTGAACTTCAAATCATGTTTAATGAGATTACATCCAGTATATTAAATGAACTTCAAATTATATAAGGTGAGATTATCATATTGAATGAGGCCAACTAAGAAACGTTCCCTCTAGTGTATACCTCATAATTATTCCCATCAGTTTAAGCTACAGTAGTGAAACAGACAGTGGTGAAAATTCACAGGGGAGCCTTCCAACTAGAGCTCATTATAAATAACATGACAGCACCGCTGCCAAAAGTCCTACAAAATGACAGGTAAGACTGGAAGAATGGAAGAAACCATGTTTACTTCAGCAACAATGCTCAAGACTAAGTATACTGGTTAAAAAAGTGTTAATACTGTAACCATCACCCACTATTATATTTCAGCCTGTTAGATATGCTAATAAACCAGTTACTCATCTCTGACTCCCAGCAATGCCCACATTAGATTCAGTCGCATCATGGCCAGCAGAGCTAAACACACTTGCTTGCTCTGTTAGCTCAATTAATGAATATTAAAAGTCAAAGTAAACTAAGTGCCCCCTAAGGGAGGTCAGGTCTCTCCTCTCATTGGATACTTTGCACATTACTACTGCTGGAAGTTTGTCATCTCTTGGGGGCCTCCCACTGGTCTTGGGCCCCAAGCAGTTGCCTGCCTCACCTTGTGACCACCTTGTGTGCTTCTGGAAATAGAACATGACCAGGCTCACATGTGCAGCTGCATTCAAAAAGATGTGGATTTTACTCTACTGCCATCCCACCATACTGTCCACTTTTTAATATGAGTCAATGATAAATGGACTCATTCTTATATAGAGCTTTTCTACTCTACTGGAGCACTTGTGCTTTATACAGCTTGCCACATTCACACAAGCCACTGCCTAAGAGCTTTCTAACTAACATTCACACCCCACTGAACGCATCAGAGAGCAACTCGAGGTTCAGTATCTTGTCCAAGAAAGCTTTGGCAAGTGGAGCAGCCAGGAATTGAACCACCAACCTTTCAATTAGTAGATGACCAGCTTTATTCTCCTGAGCTATAGGCACCTCAAAAGGGGGAGGAGAACATCTATTGTTCTATTTTTCTAAATTGACTGTCTATACTCAATATTTTTCTGGAATATCCTGACATTGAGTCAAAAGCCGAAAAAATATCTTAGCTATAATAAACGGACCAAATTTCTTAATCTTTGAATTCAGATGTTGACTTGTTGTTTCTGGAATTTCTTCCCTTCCTTCCCTGATCCCAGATGATCAGCTGTAAGTGGTATTATTGCAAAGTAGAAACGTTTAGGAACCACAGCAACACAGCCACAAAGTGGAAGACCATGTAAGATTACAAGTACTGAGGCGTATACTGTGTAAAAGTCCCCAATGCTCAGTTGACTCAATAACTGTACAGTTCCAAAACTCCACTTGCACTAAGATCAGCACAAAAAAGAAAGAAAGAAAAAAAAAATAGAAGATGGGGGCCAGGAGCTTCATGGTACGGCTCTTCATGGCCAAGCAGCTCCTTTTGGGACATACATAAAAAGATTTAGTCTTACATTTCAAATAGTGTTTTGTGGGAACTGGTAAACTGAGTGAAAGCTATTTAAGCTACATCTGTACACAAGAGCTATTTTTAAAGAAACTACTGTGTAGACTCCCTTCGTTCACCTGTACAGCCTTTGTCATCTCACCAGTACTCTACTTTAATGGGTTGTCTCAAAATCAATGCTGAATCTCATTTGTGTTTTGATGGGATTCAGAGTTAATGAGGTCAGCGAGGTCTGGTGATTTGAGCAACCTGATGGTGGCTCCAAGATTCTTTAATCAGAGCCCTGAGCCCTTTGCTATTTTAAGAAAGATAAAAAAGACTGGGCTGGATTTGAATTTGCATCACCAGTGATCTTCAGCATAGTGCTGAGGGGGGAAATGTTTCAGAGGAACACCTTCCCTGTAGCTGATCACTTGCTTCATGTATAATTCAACTTTTTGTCAAGGTTTCACATATTGCTTAGCTAGGTCAGCTGCTACAACTGCTTGTCTCTGAAAATGAAGCATCTTTGAATTCTGTGCATCCTTCGAAAGTCGCTTATGTTTGTATGATGTAACCTCTGTTCAATATTTATCAAAATATTGGATCATACATTTGGCCTTTGGTTATTGTTATCTACCTCCCAGCCGTGCAAACTTTCATCCTCCCACAACTACAAGCAACCCTCTGCAGGATAAAATCTGACAGCCTGCCTCTGAGTGATTCTCTCCATATGCTGTGATTACTGGTGATGAACCATAGCTTGTAATTAGATCATTTGGCTGTTCATAGCACATCGCCTCATGGGTCATTTCACGGATGTAATCATTGATCAGGATGCCACTTGTCACTTTCATCCTGGAGAACTGCAGTCTTCTTTTGTGTTTTCATTGCAGCAGAGGAAATATGCATGCAATGATGCAGCAGAAAACAAAATGAATCAATGTGGCAAATCAATAGATTCTAGGTGCATTTCTAGTCCCACTAACATAGCATTTAGTATTCCAGAAAATGTGATTTAGTATCCAGTATGTGAAATGCATTCCAAGAATACCAGAAAGTCCTACTGCATCTGGCTACAGGATACAGGCAAGTTGAGCTTTTTTGACCCACAAATCTCAGTGGAAGCTAAACATTACAACAAGAAGGTCAACGTTCAAGGCAAATAGTGTGTCCTAACTGTATGCAACAAGAGCTTTTAACTGTAAAACTTTTAACTGTAACAACTGTAACAGCACATCACTCAATAAAAAACAGCTGGAAAAACTACAAAGGATTCCAGTTTATGATTGCCAAATCACTTTTAGTTAGCAGGAGTAG